AAAAAAAAAAAAAAAAAGAGGCTTAAGCGCTTTTGAAACATACCAATAAGGAAATGAAATGAGCTCAACCAAGACCTATCCATGGTTAGTCAAAAATCAACTATTTCTAAAGAAAAAGAAAATGGCTCTCTCAATAGTCTAACACCCAAGTCTAATAATAATATCCTCAATTCTTGGTGAAAATTCATTGACCGGTGAAAATAATATCCGAAAACTTGGGGACCAAAAAGTTAGAAATGAAAACCTCCAAATCCACCGCCAGGAAAGCCGCCGCCGCCTCCCGGAAAACCTCCTTCAAAATGGAAGGTAAATTGCTGGCCTCCGGCACCACCGCCAAAGGGGTCAAATCCTCCTCCGCCCATTCCCATTTCTTCAATATCTTCACCACGGTCGTATTTGGTTCGTTTATCTTCGTCTCCCAAAATCTGCAAGATGAAATAGTAAAATCGTCGGATATTTTCACATGACACGAAATAGAAAGTTCCCTCTACGACGAAGCCCCTTCATGTGCCTCAAACTTTTTTGTTTACAAAGGCTTTGGTTGGTAAAATTAGTTGATAGCTTGTAAGTATGACTTATAGCTGGAAAACTAACTTTTATAATAAAAGTGTTTGGTAAAATTTTAGTTGACTAAAATAAAATTTTCAACGAGTTTAGTTAAAAAACTACCTAAAGATGTTGTTGAGATAAACTCGAGCTTTTTAAAAAGTTTGTCCTACCAAACGAAGCTTATTTGACTACAGGAAAGCTTATAAGCTAACCATAGCCAAAATTGGACCTTTTTTCGGCAAATAAATTGACTTGAAATATGGAGGGCATCAGTTTATTTTGCATCTTCCAATTTACGGAAGTTTGTGAGACAACAAAATCCAAGTCCGACCAGTTGAACGCCACAGTAAAGAGCAAAGGTGAATAATATTGTTGATAAATGAATAAGCTAAGATCGTAAAGGATCATGACGAACAAGAAGCCGATTAATTTAAGTAAACTAACCTCATAAGCAGCTGCTATTTCACGAAACTGGGCTTCTGCTTCCTCTCTATTGTCGACGTTCTTATCCGGATGCCATTGCAAGGCAAGCTTTTTGTAAGCTTTTTTGATCTCTGACATGGATGCGGTTTTCGAAACTCCTAAAATCTTGTACCAGTCCTTCCGTTGGCTCAATTTCAATGACCTCTCAGCCTTCATTAGGGTTTCACGAATATGCATATCCTGTTGAAGGTTACTCACTGATTAGGAACTTTTCAAAAATTAGTTAAATTCATATTCCATATCGGGAATTTAAAGGAAAAAAAAAAAAAAAACAATTTGTAGAGAACTTATATTATTGGGTGTTATATCATCTGCATGGATGCCAAGCTATGCAACATTTTCAAGCAAAACTTCACACCTCACAATCAGAAAGGCAATAATGTAATTTATGCCCTGTAACTTATGTAACTTAAGGTATGTGGCAGTTATTGACACCTTCTTTTTATTTTGGCCAACTAGGACATTAACTTAAAAAATCAAACACTTAATGCCCAATTGACATACAATTCACAGGTAAATTTCAAGTTACTGCCTTAATTTGCCGACAAAATTCGGTAAGTTGTCCGTCGATTGAGTATTAAGTGCGCTATTTTTCAAGTTACTGTCCTAATTTGGCAAAACAAAAGGACGGTCTCCATAATTACCACATGCCACTAGTTATATGGCATAAATTGCACTTTTGCCTAATCGGAAAACTACTCAATGTGGTAAAAAGCACAGCTACCAGTCAGAAGTAATTCTTAAATTATAAAGATTTTAAGATATTCAACTCAAAGAACAACTGGTTCTCATAAGAAACAGATTCTAACCCGTTTTAGTCCATTAATGCCAGTACTGGAGCAGGGAAAAATTAGTCGAACTTAATTAAATGACAAACCTGTGGCGACTTTTCAGCAGCTGATTTTAGGTCCGCCACGGCTCCTTCCCAGTCTTCAACCAAAAGCTTAGCTTCACCCCTCTAAAAGATTTCAACATAGTTAACAGTAAAAGAGGAAAAGTTAGACACTGCCTCAAGCAATGGCTTTCTGATAAACCTCATTAATAGTAAGAAAACAAAACTGCAATGACATAAGAATACATACCTGGACTAGAGCTTCAACTAAATCTCCATCGATTTCAAGTACATCTGTGCAACTTGTCAATGCATCCTTTCCTCTTCCAAGTTTAACCAAAACCTTACACAACCCAAGATGGAGATGTACATTGTGCGCAGTATGGTTAGGATCCAACAAAAGAGCTGATTTGTATTCCTCTACCGCCAGGCGAAGCTTACCCTTGCTTGCATTGTCTTCTGCCTGCAAGAGATATAAATTTAATCTAGTCGCTCATAGGATTAAGGGAACATCATTTAAAGTCGAGTATCAAGAAATGAATAAATGGCACTTACGCTTTTAGTCTTTTTGAGGAGGTTTTTCAGTCCGAAATATGCTTTCTTCAATTCACTATGCTCGGGGTCTAGACGAAGACCCTTCTGGTAATGTCTGAAAAAATCAATTGCAAAAAGAGTAAGCTCCCAAGTTGATGTAACCCTCTTGCCTTAATCATTTGCTAAAAAGAGTAAACGCACCTAATGGACACATCGTGATCGGCCAAATAATAGTAGGCACGACCACGTAACAGCAAAGCATCTAAATCATCCTCATTTTCTTTAAGCATGTAACCTGACTCTGATATGGCTCTTGAATAATCTTTAGTTGCAATTAATAATCTCACTCTAAGAACTTTGGCCTGCAGGAAAGCACCACCGTCACAATTGAAGAAAAATGGCACGTAAATCCCAGGGAACAAAATAAAAAATTATTAAAGATTTGAAGGAGAACCTGCGAGCAAGCTGGAGAAAACACGAGCACAACTTTTTCTATATGCTCCAATGCTTTTGAATAGTCTCCTGAATCAAAAAGATTGATGGCTGATTCTAAGGCAGTCTGGGCTTGACGCAACTGAGAAAGCTCCTTCTCTACAGCTGTATTCCCAGGTTTCATCTCCAGGAACTTTTTGTAGCTTTCCTCTGATTTCTCATATCTACATTACCCAATAACTCCCAGAATCAAATGATCTATATAAATCTGATATTCAAAATGAGGTAAACAAAAAAGACCATGGTTCTCAAAAACGGACCGGACCAGCCGTTTTGACCCGAACCGGGGTTTAACACAAGTCCAGTTCAACTATTATAAACTCCCAGCAAGAAAACCAGTCAAGAACTATTCGAACCGGTATGGATTTGGGCGGTTGAACCGGGTTTTCTTTTCCTTTCTTCCAATGTTGTTTTGATGAATTGAATTTAACTTGATTGTCTTACATTTGACATTGAACTATTATTGTAATTCAATTTTGAATTCGAAATAATAATGTTTGTGGTATATGGACTCCTGGACTCTTATCTAGAGAGATAAGGCACTGTATAATCTATTAGCCCCGTTCTCTGAAATTTGGTAAGGACTGGCAGAACATGTATAACAATCAAAACTTCAGGTACAACGGGGAGGCTCCAACACCAATTGACTGACTAAATTCCGAGTTGATGAGACAGTACATATACAGTCACTTAGTTTCACTTAATTGATCGCGCGGAAGCAATTATGTAAAAGTTTTGACTTTTCACAATATCGTTAACTTTATTGGTTGAATAACTATAAATTATAGTATTTTCTGCTAACAAATTGCAAACACATAAACAAAGGAAAACCATGACATTTAGGCCAAAAAGCTGTAAAGTGAAACCTGCACAGTTGACGAAGGACGGATGCTCTATGCCAGTATGCCTCTGAGAGTGCGGGATCTGCCTCTATAGCCGCATTAAGTTCAGCTAGTGCCTCGCTATATTTCTTCACTTTTATACTCTGCGAAACTCTCTCAAACAGAGCAGCATCACCACCAGGTTTTCCATCTGCATTTCCAATAAAGAAAGCAAGATTACATATACAACACCACAGCAAAATATATAAAACATGGCAGATAACGGCAAGCACTAACCGAGGCTCGAAATCATGCCAGACTCGAACCAAGATTAATAGAATAAATCTAATAAATTAGCAAATGAGCCTGTTTAATTATTTCTTGCAGCTACTTGATTATAGAAAGGGACGGACTTATATAAAAGACATAAATAAATTACTTCAATCCTGACATCCAACATTCCCATTTCAGCCCATCATTTACAAAACACAATCCACAAACCAGGAGCATCGACAATGGCAATTACAATCCAAAAGGAGAAAAAAAAAAATAGGTTCTTTTACGAGAATGCAAGTTAAACAACTAAATCAAACTCAACTAAAACAGATCAAAACGGCTCGCATATCCAATCAACACACGCACAAACTGTGGAAAACAAAAGGAATAATAAATTGAAGATATAAACCTATAGCAGCCACGAGCGGCTGGAGGAGGATCAGCTGACAGCAGAACACGAAATTCAGAATAAAAATTGCGTACACAAAACCTCGCCAAGCCCCCAAATCGAAGCCGCCGAGCTTCATCTCCATCTCAAGAACCCTAGAATCGTTTCGTCCCTAAAATCGCTAGCCAAAATTTTACAGGTGATTGTAAATCTTAGTACAATTTACAGTGTGATTTTGCGAGCTGTGTTTGAGGATTTAAAAGTTAGCGAAAAAAGAAGTCTTTATTGGATTATAAAATTCGTCCAAGCTAGAAAGATGCGGTGTCATGCCACGTTATACGGACGAATAAAGTGCATCCACGTGTCAAGTTTTGCTATGGTATGGTAGTGGTCATAGCCAATGGCGACCAGCCACGTAGGTACGTAGTTTACCTATTTGCTTTTGTGGTGTCCTTGGGAATCTCTCCCTATATATTAATTCAAAACGTGTTGAGAGTGGCAGATTCTCACGCTTCGGATGCTGACATGACAAAAATCTATGTTTCGTGATATTATTTTTTTTATTTTATTTTTGCTTTGTAGTTAGGTTTGATATTATACATAAATAACATTACACATATATTCATCAATCTAATACCCATGTTGTACATGGGTATTGGTACTAGTTTTGTTAAATCGGAAACGGAGTTGAAAGCGAATTGAAATAACCGGATCAGTTATCACTAGAGGTCCAGTTTTACCTGAGAAAAAATCGTTAATTCGGACCGTAGATCGGTTAAATATTCGATTAAAAAAATTTTAAAAAATTTAGTGGTTAATTTTTTGAAAAATCTGGAATAACCGGCCCGGTTAACGTATTATCTGCGACAAACTACCGATTTAACCGGACCGAACCGATTACCTTGGGTTCAGTTTGCATAGTTTACTCTTCATCATTTTTGTGTTTTTATATTTATGGGACGAAATGTGTTTTTTATGCTTATGTGACGAATTATGTATTTTTTTATTTCATTGTTGTTGTTTTTCTTAATTTTCAGGCCCAAATAATATTTTTTCGGCCCAAAATTGAAAGATAAAAATTAAACTCAAAATGAAAAATAAAAATAAAAATTGAAGGCCCAAAATAAGGATTTTGGATTTAACCGTTAACAGTCAAACCGAACCGTCCAATGCGGTTCGGATTGTGGCCGGTTAGAAAATAAAAAAAAAAAAAAAAACGTTATGGACAAGAAAAAAAATTAACCGTTAGGTTCGTTTGGTCATGGTTTGGGCTAAAACCAGACCAATCATGACCGTGAACACCCCTAGTTATCACAGACTAGAAATTGAATTGAAATAATTCGTTCAGTTATCACGAATCCAAACTGAATTGAAAAAATCGGTTCAGTAGGGTTATAACTATTCAGCACTGCGAGACCAACAGTAACACCATCAGTCGACGAAATTGAATTGAAACCGAACATAATTGAATTGAAATCGATGGGTTCAATCAAATTATAACATATCCAACATACAAGACCAGCAGTAAAATGGGATTTGATTGATGGACACAAAATATCAATCACGAACGAGAAAGACAAAAAAATCTACGAGAGCAACGTACAACTACAAATAAATTAGGGTTGAACATCTAGTTAGAGCTTCTTGAGTAACAAGCGGTCTGAGATTGAATCACATAGATAGGAGCAGCCACGATCGGGTCAAATTTGACTACCAAAAACTAGACTCAAGCCAAAAAAAAAAAGAAAAACTAAAATATACCTCCTTTAAACCACAAATATTAAAATCTAAACTTATGTCACATTAGGCTTTATTTTCGTATTACACTTTATTTTCATATTATCATATTATTGCATTTATTAACATCTTAAAATACATCATGTAATCATGGTTGATTGATAAATTTATTTTTCCAATTTCAATTTTGTCTAGCGTTTTTTTTTCAGAAGGATGGAATTTTATAAAAGAGAAAGAACACATAATTACATTTAAAACTCGTCCAAAAGTCGACTCTAGTCGATGGACATCCCATACGAATTTAAACTACCACAACACGCACACAATAATGCATACTCTCCCAACAATATAATAAAGATCCCAAAAAGGTAATAAACACCCAAAAGAAAACACATACTACACCCTAACACAAACGAAAGAACTAAAAACACACAGAAGTCTTTCCCACGGATGAGGACACACCGTGCAAACCACGAAAACGGCAACCAACGCCAGCCACCTATATGGACTGGATCTCGCGCCTAGTGTTAGATCCAGAAACTACAACGAAGCCTAACTGAAGCCAACACCCACAAACTCGACCCCATGCTCAGGCAACCGACCCCACCCCTTCGTCGGGAAAAACGAACTAACCCCACCACACCACCACGGCCCTGGGCAGCCCAAACCACGGCCAGGTCCAAGACGCCGGTCATCCCCTCACCTACACACCAAGAGCAAAGGGGACAAGGGGCGAACTCACTCTCCACAGCCTCAACGACCACAACAAACCATCGGAGCCGCACCCAGTCCCACAGGAACACCAACGTCTTCCTTCGCCACACTCGGCCCGCAAATCGACGACCACCAATAAAGCGACCTTACGGTCCTAGTCGTCCGACCCGCACCACCGTCGGCCGTCGCTAGAAGAAAGGCATTGGACTCAAGAGGGACAAAGTTGCACGGCAAGGTATCATCGTAAAATTATGAAAACAATACAATGAACAAGAAACTAAATCGATTGGATGGCATATATGTAAAGACATAATACATTTAACAAAATTGAAAGGCTCAAATTTGGATCAATCTACAATTCAAGGGGCCAAATACTCCAAAAAAAAAAAATAAAAATAATTCTAATAATTTTATGAAATTGAATTTTCACGTTCCAAATGCTCACTAGCTTCCTTGAAGGACAAAATTTCCTGCATGAGCGATGCCAATTTGGCCTCGTCCAATTCACGTATATGGCTCGGGACCTTCTCTTGGTAGCCCGGCGCACTCGTCTTCCTCGACAAGCCGTCACATTGCCTGCAAGAAAGTCGAGCGAAAATGTAATTTTGAAAAGTAATTGGGCTTTTATGCAATTAGAGCAAATAGAAATGCACGCGTAGATATAAATGGACTGACGTGTGGTGATGTCATATTTATACACATGTCATTCATCCAACGGAATGAAACAAAAGATAGGTTCTCACTTTTGTAATTCCTCCATTTTGTTCCTGATTTTTTCGAGCTCCGCTTGTACATTAATGTTTCCTTGCTGCTTGAGGAAAACCGATAGGGCCTCATTGACCACATCGACCTTACAGCCCAATGGTGCTTCATCTTTCTCGCTCAAAACCTAAAAATCGAGTACCACAATTTAAAATGTTTCACAAAATTTGAGGGGAAGACTTTTACTGAATTAGAGAAAAAAAAAAAAAAAAAA